ATATATCTTATACAAGGTTAATATCCAAAATACTTAAGGAACTCTCAAAACCAATAAGAAAATGCAACAATCCTACTTAAAAAAAGCAAAAGTGGCCCTCTCTGGTGGCACAGTGACTTAAAGGGCAGCACTAAGAAGCTAAAGTCACTTCAGCATGAGTCAGATCCCAGCCCCCGAGGTGATCCACAAGGCACGGCAGACTTCTCCTGACCTGCCCGCTGCTCCCCTCTGCAGTGTACTTTGACAGTCGGCCTGTTCTGCTCCCCACTCTGTCTCTGGTGAACACTCTCACCGCCCCTACACCTCTGGCCTGTACCTCAGTTCTGTATGCATTAAAAAAATAAATAAATAGGCCCTCCCTGGTGGCGCAGCGGGTTAAAGCACAACACTAAGAAGCTAAAGCCACTTGCACATGAGTTCGATTCCCGCCTGCCTCAGAGGAGACCACATGGCGTGACAGACCTCTCCTGACCCGCCCGCTGCTCCCCTCAGCAGTACTTCGTCGATCTGCCTGTTCTGCTCCCCACTCTGTTTCTGGTGAAGCCTCTCACCACCCCTGTACCTCTGGCCTGTACCCCAGTTCTGTATGCATAAATAAATAAATCTTAAAAATAAATAAATAAAAAGAGCAAAGGGTCTGTCTGGATTCTTTCTGGTGGCACAAGGGGTTAAATCACAGCACTATCCAGCTAGCCTCTTCAGCAGAGTTTGATCCCCAGCCTGTCTGAGAGGTGACTCATATGGCACAGTTTTGTATGCATAAATAAAAAAAAATATATATTAAAAAAAATAAGCAAAAGGTCTGAATAAACATTTTTTCCAAAGATGAAGTCATATGGATGACTGACAGGTATATTAAATCTAGGTAAGGAACTGGTATTTTGGGAGGCCTCCCTGGTGGGGCAAAAGTTAAATTTTCAGCACTATCCAGCTGTTGCCAGCTACTGGGGCATGTGTCCCATCCCCCAGGGAGATGACCCACAGGGCGCTGTAGACCTCTCCTCTCTCCCCGTGCCTCCCCTCAGCAGTATATTTCAGTAGATCCCCTTGTTCTCCTCCCCACTCTGTCTCTGGTGAATCCTCTCACCACCTGTACCCCGGCCTACACCCCAGTTCTTTTACACATAAATAAATAAAAATAATCTTTAAAAAAGAAGTGGTGCTCTATAGTTTGAAATTTTGTACCCTCAAACTGCATGCATATAGTTCAATGTTAAGACTGTGACTGCCTTCTCCAGCCTCTCCCAGTGGAGACGGCTCTACTCCTCAGAGAGGAGAGGGTGGGGAACCAGGGACAGAGGGGCGGCCAGGGGCGAATGCTCCTTAACCTTTATTCCCCAGAGCCAGAACCTTCCAGGCATCATTAACCCAACCAGAGACAGCTCTGGTTATGTCTTAGTTACCTCCTGGTAAACAGATTATGGAGTTCAAGTACAGTATATCTTGGAAATACAATGTCCCCACAGTGAATCAAGGTCTATTTTCTACCTAAGGTGCATTGGATTTGACTGAAGAATGAGTTCAAGGGAGAACAGTAATACTTTGTATTTGCTACAGATAATGACAACCAGAAATTTATATGACATAACACCCTATTCTTTATAAAAGAGCAACACTGATTCCTCCATAATATGAAAAAGGTAAGCAGTGATTATTTTACCCTGCCTGTTTTATTAAAGTGCATCTTGAACTCAAGAATCAAAAGACATTAAAAACATACACTTTCCTTTGCTTCACCCGAATTTATTGCTGAGATAAATCCTCTGAAATTGAAATTAATCAATCTTTTATTTTTATAACAGTAATTACAAAATGGACATGAAAACAATTTGCTGTTGTGAAATTTTGTATTACTTAGCTTTACTTATTTTTTCATGGTATTGCATTCAAAAGTCGTTTCTCATTGAAGAAAACTGTGAGTTTTAATTAAGAACGTGGAGTCAGCATCATACTGCTGAGTGTTATGTCATCTGGGTCAGATACCAGCTTCCTGACCCCGGGAAGTTTATTTATTTAATTTCCCTATGCATCCGGGTCTTTATGCAAAATGTGAATATTAACATTACCTGCCTTACTAGGAATGCAATAAATGAGAAAATATGGGTAATGTTATTAACCATGTGGATAGCATATAATAAATGTTTAAAAATGGTTACTAATAAAAAAAATACTTTCAAGTAACTGGACATCTCCACACTGCACAATCAGACCAGTTCTTGTTAAAATAGAAATTGCAAAGGGAAAAATGCAACTTCCCATGTGAAAACTGCCAAATGTGCCTCTAATTTAATGGAGAGAGTCAATCAAGTTCAGAAACACCTACTTTTCTGTGCTCAAAATACAAGAAAATGGTCCCAAATAAAAGGGGAAAAATATGCAGGAAGTTACGGTGACTTTCTCCCCAGTTTGGGTTTGTATTCACCCAAGACAGAATATTCTTCTACCAATTTTGAACTGAGTATTTCCCAAATTACTGCCCCTGTCCATTCTGTGAGAGTGGGAGAAATTGTGCAATATGACTGGATAAAATAGGTGCAAACTTCAAGATGAAAGAGAAATGATAAAAGTTAAAACAATAATGATAAAAGCAATAACTATGATGGTGATTATATAACAATGCTTACTAGATCTACAATTGCACCTTTATTTATTTTGACCAGTAAATTATTCATTATTCTGAAAATGTGCAAGATAATAAGCCTGGGTCACACATGGAGAGGTAGGGACAGTGAATAAACGGTCAGCTGACTTCCAGTCCCAGAAGCCGGTAGAGGCTTGTCCAATTTCTGCCTTCTCTTGGGTACTTTCGTCTATAGCCAGAGGGAAGCTGGCAACTCAGAAACAGAGGAAGGAAAACTTTCCCGATGTGAAAGCATCCCTTCGGGAAATCATTTTACATGAAACCTCCCACCTATAGAAGATGTATTATAATAGAAAAGATTGAAGCAGAAGTCATATAATGCCTATTATTATTATTCTGGAACATTGTATTTAACATGCATGTAATAATTATCCAAAATATATGTTGATTAGACTGCCAAGAATTCAATTCCTTTTGTTCTAGTTTTTTTTTTTTTTTAATAAATTTTAACTTCTGAAAAAAAAAAATGTAGGGGGCCTCCCTGGTGGAGCAGGGGTTAAAATCTCAGTGCTATCAGGTTGTCACAGTCACTGCAACAGGAGTTTGATCCCCAGGCAGGGAGGTGATGCCCAAGGTGCAGCAGACCTCTCCTGTCTCCCCGTACCTCCCCTCAGCAGTGTATTTCAGTCAGCCTGTTCTGCGCTTGGTGCTGTCTCTTGTGAATATTCTCATCCACCACAGCTCCGGCTCACACCCTGGTTCTATGCATAAATAAATAAAAATAAATCTAAAAAAAAAAACACGCAGGGAAGGGGATATAAGTCTTTGAAGTTTGAGAAGATATAAAATGTAAAAATAACGAAAGAGGAGAAAAATAAAGGACACTAGAGAAACCCTAGACGTGACAAAGTCCAGGGATCCTCGCTCTGCATCAGCACATGTAACACATCCACATCCTGGTTCCTTCTGCTCCTAGTTATGAGTCCTAAACACACAGGAGCTAAGAGGGTTTTATCTTTGGGGCAGCTGAAAAATCACATACTGGATATAATGAGATAAAAAGGAAGGGTTGAGGATTAGGGACAACTGAGAAACAAAGCACAGACATAAATCATTTCATTGGTGGGACTTATAGGTGGGAAGAGGAACTTGCTGTCTTAGGCAAGAAAAGGAAATAATATTTTATAGGTATTTCAAATAAAATTGGTCTGGAAAATGAAGAAAGTTCCAATATTATGACAATGCGATTTAAGACGTAGTGACGATTTGTAAGGTCACGGCAACAGTAAAACTGGAGGTCTAAGATTCAGCACGTGTGGGAAATACCGAACATGTTTGATTTAAGAAAGTTTATGTACCATGGAGACTCCAACTGAGATTAAAAAATAGAATTCACAAAATGATGTGAAAAAATATATTAAAAAATCAAAAAAATGTTTAGGTATTTAAGGAACTGACTAAGCTATATAGTACTGTGTGTCCAAATTCATATATAGGTAATTAGAATGTCCACATATATATTTTATTCACCATATATGTTGATTATACATTGTATACAATATATGTTAATTTTTATGTCATAGATGAGAAATAGATGATGGGTGAGGTAGATATTCAAAAACTCATTAAAGAGAGAAAGAAGCTATCCAAAGCAAACTTTATACTTAGCCTGGTATCTTATGTAAACTGATTAAATTATCTTATGCTTCTTCTTTTTTCCTTTTCTTTATCAAATAGCCCCTAAATGGATAAAGTTATCAAATTACTCTGAAAGCTTTAAAATTGAGAACATAAATAGTAAAATTGCTTGGGTCTGTGGGAAGACTAAGAACATATGACAAAAACATTTAATTTCATATTTTAACCTTCAAGTGTTAATGGTGAGTTATTTTGATATGAACAGCTGGGGAGTGTCCAGGCGGACTGTGGTGGGTCAAGCACTGGTGTCATAATGACCCCTGCCCTGGGGCTGCCTGAGTGTAACTCACAGGAAAACATTAAGTCATCATTCAAGAACCATAAACAAAAATATAACTTAGAACGTGCTAGGCAGAAAAAAATAAAAAGAAGCAAAAACAAATAGAGACCACGTCCATCAGACAGGTCAAAAATTTCTCATTAAAGAAGGGCCCATGTTACCTAGCCTGTTTTCCTTTTTTTAAAATTATCTTCTGCTTTGTCTTTTATTCATATTCATAATTCCTAATAAGAGAAGGAAGAATAGACTTTCTGTTTTTATCCTAAACTTTAGGATTTTGGATATGAAATTTACTCGCAAAAATACAAAGCAAACAATAAGAAAACTGGACATTTCTCCCGGATCAGTGGATTTGAAATCGTTGATTTAATATGGCCCATATTTCAGCTGGGCTCAAAGGAATGAACTGACTTCCAAGTTATGAAATCATTTTGTTCATGAATGGAATTCCCAGGACAAAACATCTCACAGGACAACCATACTACACTGGAGGAATTCACCCTCATTGGGTTTTCTGATATTCCCAACCTTCAAGGATTACTTTTCGCTGTATTTCTAATACTCTATATTATTATTCTTATGGGAAATAGCCTCATTATCATGATAACTAAGGTTGACCCTTCACTACAGACCCCCATGTATTTTTTCATTGGGAATTTTTCCGTTTTGGAAATATGTTATGTGTCAGTGACGCTTCCCAGATTATTAACAGATCTCTGTGGACAAAATAGAAAAATTTCCTTTCTGGCCTGTGCTGTTCAAATGTATTTCTTCCTGATCTTGGGTGCCACTGAGTGCTTCATCCTCACTGCCATGGCTTATGACAGGTATGTGGCCATCTGTAACCCACTTCTCTACCCTGTCATCATGAACAACAGGCTGTGTATTCAGCTGGCAGTTGCCTGCTGGACTGCTTCAATTCCAGTGTACACAGGATTCACTGCTATACTCTTCACTTCACCCTTCTGTGGATCTAACCAGTTGAATCACTTTTTCTGTGATGTCCCTCCAGTTGTTCAGCTTGTTTGTGGGGACACTTTCATACTTGAGATGCTGACTTACGTGATTGCTGCTTTAGTTGTTACGATCCCTTTTTTCTTGATACTTGTATCTTATGTGAAAATAATCTCCACCATCCTGAAGCTGCCATCAGCCTCTGGGAGAGCCAAGGCCTTCTCCACTTGCTCTTCCCATCTCATGGTTGTGACTTTGTTCTTTGGATCAGGCATCATAGTGTATATGAAACCCAAGTCCACTCACTCAACAGGAATGGACAAATTCTTTTCTCTTTTTTATACCATCTTGATACCTGTGTTTAACCCCATTATATATTGTCTGAGAAACAAAGATGTTATGGTAGCTTTGGGAAAATTCCTGCAGAAATGGATTTTGCTGTGAATCAAAAAAATAACTTCTTAAAGATTGGTTTCCTACTTATCACTGCTCATTTGGTTCTTTTCCAATTATTTTAAGAAAGTGAATTATTTAAAGAGTGATGCTCTTATATTCTTATGCTTCCTAAAATAAATTCAGAAGTTATTTTCATAGCATAAATTATTCCCAAACTCAATCCAAGGTATAGAGTTACCAGGTAGAACATAATAAAGTAATTAAAGTTTGCTGTGGCTGTTTAAAATATTTCAGATATTTTCTTCATTTTATTTTGACAAAATACCATGATTCATCTATATATCTCCAAAACCACTGTATCTCTTAACAAATAATAGACATCTAATTAAATGTGTTGGTCTGAAAGAATGATGAATGGCTAAACTATTGATTTAACTACTGCTGTTTTATTTGCTTCTAATCAGTATTTATCAATATTTATATTCTACACATTTGAAATAATATAAAGAAAAGAAGACTCAGATCCCAACAAGCTTAAGTTTCATGAGTATGCTAAAGACGTTGGTATAGATTGGTGGTTTCTCAGTTCATCCTAAAGATGAATTCACATGCAAAAGGAGGCCAGTCTCTGAGGCCCAGAATTCAGTTTTCCACCGGAAATGCAACTTCACTCCCTTTCCTTTTGCTTCATTAACCTTAAGTAACTTGATTATAACTTTCATGTACAGGATTTAAATGTATATAATAACAAATGATAAGTGCTGTGGGTGGAACGTGTTTGAGTCACTGAAGAAAGAATTTTTATATTAAACTATTGAAATGTTAGCTCTGTATATGTATCTTTTTATTGGCTCCAGTAGCTTTATAAGGTGGAAACCATACATCTGTACACATCTCTTTCACAACAAACTGGAAAATTGTACAAAGTACTAAAGCAAAGATTTTGCTAGACTGACGCAAGAAACAATAGAATAACTGAACAGCCAATTACAAACAAATAAAAAACCCCTGCTCTAATTACATCTGTGAACCACTGCTCATTTCCATTCTTTCTTTTCAATCCAAACGTTTCCCTTCTCTTTATAAAATTTACCAAAGATCATAGCAACAATAAAATTCACTCTATTTGGTCTTTCCTATTAGTTTGAAAACTCTCATGATGTCACTTTTCCGTCCATGCCTCCCTGACAGAGAGCGGGAGACTGGGCTTACACTATCCTCTGGTCCAATTATTTTGCTGTCTTCATAAACTATACTCTTTATTTTACTTCTGCTTATTTTATTATAGTGTTTTTTTAAACTCTAGAATCAAAGATTAAAGTTGCACACTTTACTTTCTTGTGTTCCAATTCATTTGTGATTTAAATTTTTTGAAATTGAGTCGTATACTAGAAATACAGTCCACATTTCATATATTCATAATAGTAATAAAAGTGTAAAATTGATATATAAATAAAGATAAAGTACATCCCTCTTGTGATGAGGGCTTTAACAACAAATGGGATGGAATGTGAGCCCAAGAGACTTTACAAGTTGTATCTATGAGGTAAAGGCATGATGTTTCATCATTTGAATTATATTATATTATTCTCATATTTCATGCAGAGATTTAGTCCAGTGTTAGGACTACCGCCTCTCCTATTAGAGACGGGCTCTACTCCCTAGAGATGAGAGGTTGGGGACCCCGGGACAGAGGGGTGGCCAGGGGCAAATGCGCCTTTTTCCCCAGAGACAGAGCCTCAGTGAATCTGCCCCAGCCTGACAAAGCCTGGGCTGTTTCCTAGTTAACACCAGGTAATTGTTTTCCCTAAATGAGGTTACTGTTGATTTAAGAAAATGTGAGTTCAAGGGAAAATAATAATAGTTGAATTTATTACTTGATCCTTTAAACCAGAAATTTATATGGTGACACTCTCCTTCATAAAACACCACACCATGATTTCTCCATAATATGGAAAGGTAGGCAGCAATGATTTTACTCCTGTCTGTTTTATTATAGTGTACATTTAACTTGCATCTAAAGATTAGAATATATCCTCTCCTTTCTTTTGATCCAATTCATGTGAGCAAACTTGAAATGTATACTGTAAATGTAGTCCATCTTTCATTTTTACATACTAAGGAAGATGTAAAATTGGTATGAAAACAACTTGAGGTAGAGAAGAGTTTTATATAATAAGCTTTACTTACATTTCCAGGACATTAAATTCAAAAGCAATATCTTATTTAATATTTATGATGCCAGTGATTAAAGATGTGGATTTGGCATCACACACTGTGTAGTGCTGGTCAGGTAGTAGCTTCATGACACTGGGCAAGTTTGTTAACGTTTCAATGCATTTTTTTGAGTGTGTGCAAAATGTGAATAATGGTCCCTAATATATTCAAATTGTAACAAATGAGAAAATGTAGGGAAGGTTATTCACACCATGAATAGCATGTGACGAATGTTCAAAAATTGTTAATAACAGTAAAGGTTTCTAATAACCAGATCTCTCTTCACTGCCTAGGCATGCCAGTTGCTGTTAAAAATGGAACATTGGATTTGGTGATGGGAAACCCAAGGGGATTGTAGTTGAGATGGAAAAATGCACAAAAATATGTAAAAATAAAGTAATATAATGAAAAAATAGAACATTAGTAATAGGAAAGTTCATCTTCCCATGTTGAAATTATCATTGTGCTCATAGTTGTGAATGGAGAGAATAGCTCAAGACGGAAAAGAAAATAATCAAACTTTTCTCATGATATGTTATCATATATGAAATAAAATTTGAATTAAAAATTTAAATAAAATATTTTTTTATTTATATTAAAACATTTATTTTATGTGCTCAAAATATAAAAGACTAGTACAGATGAGAAAGAAAACTAAAAGTAAAACATAGGCTTGCTTTCCCCAAAATATTTTTCCTGTTTGGTATTTCACATAACATAGAACTGTCCACTATTTTTAAGCTGTCAAGTTAATACCCTGTTATTACTATCCTCTGCTAGATTGGGAAGCATCTACCTTCTCCACTTGCTCTTCCCATCTCATGGTTGTGACTTTATTCTTTGGATCAGGCATCATTGTGTATTTCAGACCTAAATCCACTCACTCATCAGGAATGGACAAATACTTTTCTCTCTTTTATACTATCTTGATAACTGTGTGTGTGTGTGTGTGTGTATTTATATTACGTGTATATTTCAACAGGGATAAGTAACCTGTGATAATTACAATAAGGACATACTATGAAGATATATTTCAGTTTATTTTTTTTAAATGTGCATTTATCACAGTGTATAATTTTCATTTTCAGTAAGTCAGTGTTAAATTCTGGGGCCAGAGTGCAGCGCAGTACCTAGATTGTGCTCATTGTGTTAGTGGGAATCATTCCATGACCCATCATAAAGCACTCACTGGACAACTTTTGGAAAACAGAACTGGATGACTTGTTTAAGGTCAATATTGTTTGTAATAATTTGATTCTCTTTCTTTCTTTAAAATTCAAAATACCTGTATGATTCTGTGATCCCTGATATCTGATAAAATCTCAGTATTCTCACTTCCTTAGGAAAGCGACTCTCCTACCAGACCAGGTGACTCTTTCCACATAGAAACTGTGCATTGACCTTCCTATCTGAGTAGGACATGACTGCACTCATATCATTCCCATTATTATTTTAAATGCCCAAGCTCTTGGCACACTGCATTTTATATTCACTTAGTATTTATTCATAAAGGTACAGTAATTACTATAAGGTATATTGCATACATTGCTATAATGTATATTGATTATACCATAACACATTGATTATAAAATATAAACAAAATATTATTATTTGTAAACCCTACAGTGATTACTATATTGCATTTTGTATATGTTACTATCTTGCATATTGGATACTGCCTGAAATATAGGGGTGTGTACTCAATTTCAGTTCATAAAAAATACTATTAAATCAAAAAGGGCACAGGTCTCTGATTCCTTCTTTGATTATTTGAGTCACAAACACAGAGGAGCCTTAAGGAGATTTCTCTTTAGTGTGTGCTGGGAAAAAGTATACTTCAGAATGCGATAAATTTCTGTGAATGTAAAGAAAGGAATTCAAGATTAGTGAGAAATAAGAAACCACATTTAGAAATTCATATCTATCATGCGTTTAGGATTTGTGTGTAGGGAGCAGAATTTGGTGTCTTAGAGGAAGATATGGGGTTGATTATAAAGAAGTTTAGATGACTTTTCTTTCTAGGAAATAGAAAAGGTTCCAAACACACGACGATGTGGATTTAGCACTATGGAACAGATGGGAAAAAGGTGTTTGATTTACACTAGTGAAGAGTACAAAGGTCCCATGAGAACAGCAAAGTTGAGGGGGAGGATTCAGCACAGTCAGGCCAGACTGTCCATACTTGACCTACTAATGCTTCACTATGGAAGGAGCTCATGAGACTAAGTCTCCAAGGCTGATCTCACTCTGTTTCTAAATTCAGATACAGGTAAGTAGAGTGTGCATTACACACAGTATAAATTACATTCATATTATATATTGTTTATACATTGTACACATTATAAATTAGTTTTGATAAAATTAGATGATAGTTAGCTGATAGCTATTCAAACGTCATATTAGAGATAGAAGGAGGGTATATAATAGCAGATTTTAGCTTTTATTTGGTTCCTATGTGAAACATTTGTTTCCTTTTTGTGATGAATTACTGCCTAAAGAGATAATTTTATCCCATTACTCTTACTATCTAAAATATGCAATATATGTGGAGTTATTAAAATGAGGGACTCGTGGAAGTGCAAACATAATCTGCAAAATTCTTACATTATTTTACATGCAGGAATTATACACACATAAGACATGCTAAGGGCATTATTCCTAACACAAATAGCTAGGAGTGGCCAGGTGAGCAGAGGGGACCCGGCTAGGGACTCACTGACACCTTGTCCCAGGACAGCCTGAGAATGACTCACATAAGAATCATCAGTATTGACATTGAAGGATCCTACAAACAAATTAAAGGGTTTTCAGCAAAGGGATAAAAAAAAAAAAAAAGGAATGCAAAGTAAATTAGAACCAAATTTATAACAAAGGAAAACATTTCTTTTAGAAAAAGAAAAAGTGTCAGTTTACCTAGAGATGTTTGAGACTAGGCTCTCAGACATGATTTCCCTGACTTCATTGTTCTCTGTTTTGTCTTTTCATGACATATACATGATATATATATATACACATGATAGAGGAAAGCAGTTTCTGATTTTTATCAGGAAATTTTAGATTATTCATAAATATATTATCACCTTTATAAATGAGAATACTAGAATCTAACCTGTCAGTGGATACAAAAATCATTGATTAAATTTTTAAGATTTAGTTTTTAAATTAATTTATATTTCCCACTATCCAGCTAGATGGAGATGATTGAATAAACTCTAAGTATTGAACTCATTTTGTTCATAGATGGAATGCACAAGACAAAATTCCCCTCTGGGGAACCACACTGCATTGGTGGAATTCATCCTGATTGGGTTTTCTGATGTGCCCAAACTTCAAGGATTTCTTTTTGCTGTATTTATGATCATCTATGTCTTTATTATTATGGGAAATAGCCTTATTTTCCTGATAACTAAGGTTGATCCTTCCCTTCACACCCCCATGTATTTTTTCATTGGGAATTTTTCCTTTTTGGAAATATGTTATGTGTCAGTTACGCTCCCCAGATTGTTAGCTGATCTCTGGAGACAATGTGGAAATATTTCTTTTCTGGCCTGTGCTGTTCAAATGTATTTCTTTCTGATCTTGGGAGACACTGAGTGCTTCATCCTCACTGCCATGGCTTTTGACAGGTATGTGGCCATCTGTAACCCACTAATCTACCCTGTCATCATGAACAGTAGACTGTGTGTTCAGCTGGCAGCTGCCTGCTGGACCACGGCATTTCCAATCCACATAGTGTCCATCTCTGTGCTCTTCTCTTCACCCTTCTGTGAACAGAATGAGATGAATCACTTTTTCTGTGATGTCCCTCCAATTGTTCAGCTTGTTTGTGGGGACACTTTCATACTTGAGATGCTGACTTACGTGATTGCTGCCTTAGTTGTTACGATCCCTTTTTTGTTGATACTTGTATCTTATGTGAAAATAATCTCCACCATCCTGAAGCTGCCATCAGCCACTGGGAGAGCCAAGGCCTTCTCCACTTGTTCTTCCCATCTCATGGTAGTGACTTTGTTCTTTGGATCAGGCATCATTGTGTATTTCACACCTAAATCCACTCACTCATCAGGAATGGACAAATACTTTTCTCTCTTTTATACCATCTTGATACCTGTGTTTAATCCCATTATATATTGTCTGAGAAACAAAGCTGTTATGGTGGCCCTGGGAAAATTCCTGCAGAAGTGGATTGTGCTGGGTTTCATAACTTCTAAAAATTCATCACACTCATAACATCTTTTGTTTAATTTTTTTCTTATTTATCAGTCTTCACTGTTTTTTTAATTATTCTAAGAACATGACTTATTTTTCCTAATTGATTTCATATTTTTGTATCTCATAAAATAAACTCAGCCATCATTTTTGCATAGTACATTATTCTGATACTCTATGCAGGGCATAGAAACATCTTTAGAATACATTGGACTTATTAGTTGGTTGTTTCTTTTGTTAAATTTCATTATATTATTGACATTACATATGTAATTCATTCTATATGTCCACAAACATATTTTATGTAAGATACCAGATATCTAAGTAAGTGCATTAGACTAAAAGTATGACTCATAGCACATGTTTGATTATTTTTGATATACTCTAGTAGATAATGAATAGGAGGAGATTCAGAAACAAAGAATGGAAAACATATATTTTTAAAAACTACATGTTTACTGTTTTTTCCAAATATCAATAAAATCTCAACATACACTATTCCTATTTCTTTAACTTTTATTTTTAGCTTTAGCGATGTACCTATTGTATATCCCCCCCAAAAAAAAAAACTAAGCCAGGATAAGTTTACATTATACTCATAAAATAACTTTTAATCATTAATTGGTGCAAACACCCTATATTTGATCTAATACATGTTCCTAGGTGGATTCAAAGACACCATGCTTTTGAGAAACTTAATGTTAACCTCTGAGTCAGTAAAATCAGCATCTGTCCTAAAAAACAGAATTCTATACCTAAATACCTTTAGTGAGTTGTATCTCCCTCAATTTCAGCTTTTCTCATCATGTAATTTTCCCATTTACACCCTTTTGATAGAGAAGATTCTTGATTCAATGTACCATATATGCATGTCCAAATTCAGATTTTCTAACATCAGTCCCTGTAACTAAGGAAATGTTATTTCCCTGATCTGAATAAAAGGCTTTCATTAAAAATCAAATGATGTATGGGCTCTGGCCCTTAACTAGTTTAATTTTTGAAGTAAATAAATTGTGTTTATCAGTTTGAAAATTGGGTTTACCGATTTCATACTTATAGTATAACACTGAGGTGGTTAATCTGTTATCCAGCCTTTCCCAAATGGGACTTGCTTTGCTCCCCAAAGATGGGGAGAAAATGGGGAGAAAGGGACAGAGTAGTGTTCAGGGCACTAATGCTCTTCATCTATATCCCCCATAGATGGAAGCTTCCAGAATCACTAGTCTCAACTGGAGAGCCTTGCTTCTCTCCTAGCCACTGCTAACACACCGATTTCTGTATTTAAATATTTATAACATTTGTTGATGAATGAATAGCGGAACAACCAAGCAATTTATATCCTAAATATAAATTGGGTTGCCACGTTATTTTTTCTTTGATGTAATCTGTATTTTTAATTTTCTCTAATGTTGTAAAAGAAAATTCTAGAAAAAGAATGATTATTAAGAAAATTCCCAAAGACACTTCAGAAATACACTTTTTTGGTTTGTTTTTAAAGATTTATTTATTTATGCATACAAGAACTGAGGTATAGGCCAGAGGTGCAGGAGCACTGAGAGGATTCACCAGAGAGAGAGCGGGGGGCAGAACAGACAGATTGTTGAAGTACACTGTTGAGGGGAGCAACTGGTGAGAAAGGAGAGGTGTTCTGCGCCATGTGGATCAGCTCCTAGGCCAATACCAAACTCACACTGAAGCAGCTGCACTAGCTTGCAGTGCTGTGCCCGCACCTGTTGCACCACCAGGGAGAGCCAGAAATACCAATATTTTAAGTCTACTTTGCACTTCTTTGCCAACGGATTGGAAAATGTACAAAATACGGAAAGAATATGACCTTACAAGTCTGAATCAAAAAGTAATAGAAACCTTTAACACATCAATTATAAACAAAAAAAAACTGATGGCCAGTGAAAAATTTCATAAAATATCAAATCCAGTACCTGATGGAATTACTAGTGATTTCTACATCTTCAGTGAGAAATTAATACCTCAAATTCTTAAATCCTCCCCAAAATATAGGAAGATGAAATGTTCCCAAACACATTCTTTGATGACATTCATTACTGAGGCAGCGAAGACCTTATCAAAGAAAACTACAAACCCAAATCCCTGCTGAACACAGATACCAAATGGAGATAATTAGAGAGAATAATATGTAGCAGAGTAGGTCAAATGATAAATTAACAAATGCTGGACATTTAAATAGGAGACAATTCGAGAATGCAACACATTAAAAACAAAGTGGAAGTCAATAAGCAGCGTAAGATCTCCGAACTTAAGAGGAATAGGAAACATTTGACCAGGAGCACAAAGCATGATGGGAGGGGGGGCCACAGGGAATAGGGAGGAGGCTGAAGAGTCATGATGGGAAGACTACACCTTGGGGTGAGAGGAACAAACCAAAACGCCAATGTAAACATGAAATTGAATCCATTTCAACATATTTATATACTGTTATCCTCTTGCAAGTTGCTTTCATCACATTTTTAGAAATTATTTTTCTAATCACATCTACTAACCATTGACCTTTCCATACTTTCTTTTCAATCCAAATATTTCCCTTCCCTTTACAAAGTTTACTGAAGACTCATTGCAGTAACATATCTAACTCCACTTTTTCTTTCCTATAGTTTCAAAATCTCATAATATCTTTTGCCATCCATACCTTACAGACATAGAAAACTGGAGATTATGTGGACTATATCCCTTTGTGCATTCCTACTAAATTTTACTCTTGCTGTTTTATTAACTCAAGAATGTTTATATTTTAACTTGAGCATCACAAGATTAAAAGTACAAATTTCCCTTTTGTGATCAAGTCCATTTGAGAGCTAAATCTTCTGAACTGGAAATATAGATGTGAATGAAGTCCATCTTTCATTTTTATATTAGTAATGAAAATGTAAAATTGATGTATGTAAATAAAGATAAATTCAATTCCTCATGTGATCAAGAGGCCTTAACAACAAATGAGATGTCACATGAGCTCTGTGGACTTCCAAGGCATCTTCTTTGGGTAAAGTCATGGTGTTTTAATCATTTGATTTAGTATACTGAGATTTCATACATAGATCTAGTCCAGTGTTATGGCTGTAAACACCTTCCAGAGCCTCTCCCAATGGAGACAGGCTCTACTCCCCAGAGATGAGACAGTGGGGACCAGGGACAGAGGAGTGGCCAGAGGTGAATGTTCCTTACTCCCCAGAGACAGAGACTTCAACTCATCTGCCCCAGCCAGGCACTGTCCTGATTACTACCAGGTTATTGAGCTTAAAACAAGTCTTGAAGCAATAATGTTCCCATAGTGAACAAGAGGTTCTTTCCTACCTGACATGAACTGCTGATTTAAGAAAATATGAGTTCAAGGAAAAATAATAGTTGAATTTATTGCTGATAAATAAAGCTAGAAATTTGTATGATATGACACTCTATTCTTTATAAAAGACTACACCATGATCTTCATAATATGACAAAGGTAAGAGCATTAATTTTCCTCCTGCCTATTTTATTATAGTGTATTTTTAACTTGAATGAAAAGATTAAAATGGACACTTTCCTTTCTTGTGACCAAAAACATTTGTGAGCCAGATCTCCTGAACTTGAAATATGTATTTAAATGTAGTCCATCTTTCACTTATATTTTCAGGACATTAAATTAAAAACATAATTCCTTATTTAATATTTGTGATGCCCACAGAATAAAGATGTGGATTTGGCATCACATACTGCTCAGTGTTAGGTCCCTTGGGTCAGATAACAGCTTATGACTCAGGGCAACTTTTCAAAATTTCTATGCATTTATTTTTGGCAACATGCGAATGATGGCACCTACTTTTCAAACTGTAATACATGAGAAAAAAAAGGGTAACATTATTAACACCATGAATAGCATGCAATGCTTGTTCAAAATTTGTTTATAACAGCAAATGTATCTAATAACCAGATATTTCTACACTGCGTAAGCATGGCAGTTGCTGTTAAATATAGAACATTGGTTAAGGGAAAGATCAGCTTCCCAAGTTGTGCTCAGAGTTATGAATGGGGAAAACAGATCAAGTCAGAAAAGAAACTGATCAGAGCTTTCTCATGATATGTTCTTATCTATTAAAATTTGAGTTAGAGTTTAAAATGTAATTTTAGTTTAATTTATTTTTTTTAACATCTATTTACTTATGCGTAAGAGAACTGTGGTACAGCTAGAGGAGTGAGAGATTTCACCAGAGACAGAGAGGGGAGCAGAATAGGCAGCTCCACTGACATACACTGCAGAGGGGAGCAGTGGGCGAGACAGGGGAAACCTGCTGTGCCATGTGGGTCAGCTCCCTGGCCAGGGGTAGTTTCATAGTGCAGCACTTCAACACCTCGTGTTACTAGGGAGGCCCCAATTTTAGTTTTTTTTTAGTATATTTTAAGTGCTCAAAATATGAAAGATTAGTATAGATGAGAGAGAAAACTAAAAGTAAAACCCAAATATAAAAATTTTATCCCCAGATATTATTCATGATTATATTCACACAACATACTACTGTTTACTTATTTTAAACTTAGTATTCCTGCCAAATTAATATACTATTCTTATTTTCCTTGTTAGATTGGGAGATATCTACACCTTGACCAGAATAAAGATGAGCAAACTTCAAGATGGAAGAAAAAGAATATCAGTTAAAATAATGTTAATTCAATAAGTATTATAGCAATCATATAACAATGCCCAATAGAACTGCAAAGACATCCTTTAGCTAACTGTTAAATAGATATGCTTCTTACTTTTCAGAATAATTCCCTGCGTGTATTTATTATGGTCTTGTATGTTTTCAACAAGGTTATCTAACCTGTGATAATTACAATGAGGACGTATTGACAAATATACTTCATTTTCTGTTTGAAAACTTAAAAAATATTTGCTTATATCAATGTGCATTTTTTACAGTGTGTAATTTTCATTTTCAGTAATAATATACTGTGGTCAGTGTTTTGGTTAGTAGCAAGGGCAGCTTTGTGCTAGTGGGAAATCATTCTGTGACCAGCAGGTGCTCATAAACCACTCACGCAGGTAGGCACGGGACAATCATTTGGAATACAGAACTGGATGAGTTGATGAGGGTCAATACTGTTTGAATAATTTGATTCTCTTTCTTTCTTTAAAAGTGCCAGTGCCAGTAGGATATTGTGATTCCTGATAGCTGACAAAAATCTCGGTTCAATGTCACTTCCTTAGGAATGTGACTCTCCTGCAGGGCCAGGTAACTCTTTCCACATAGAAACTGCACTTTCCGGGTGACTTGAGCTCTCCATCTGAGTTGACCATCTGTAAGCTCTGTAAGGACATGATCGGACTCATATCATTTCCCATGAGTACGAAATACCTTAACTGTTGGCACACTTTGCATGTATTGTTTACTTACTGTTTATTCATAACAACTACACTGACTACTATTACACTGTATATTTTACAGTAACCAATTGGATATAGAATATAACCAATATAATACTATTCATTAAAATTATAGTGTATTTTGTATATGTTACTATATAGTGTCTGCCTGAAACATTCATGAAATATTTTGGGTTAATGAAATTTTAGTTCTCTTTTGCAGTCTAGTTTTTGAAAGAGAGAGCAAACACATGTAGGGATAGTGATATAACTTGAAGTTTGAAAAGATATAAGATGGGAAAAGAACAAACAATGAATGCTAAAATAAGAAAACAAATGATATCAGAGAAACAAAGATAGAGATGTCAGGAGAAGAATAGGGGTGTACCCTCAATTTCAGATTATAGAAAATACTATTAAATCAAAAAGAGCACAGGTCTCTGATTCCTTCTTTGAATATTTGAGTCGCAAATACAGAGGAGCCTTCAAGAGAGTTCTTTTAGGGTGTGTGGGAAAAAGTACATTTCAGAATGCGATAAATTTCTATGAATGTGAAAAAAGGAATATAAATTAGTGAGAAATAAGAAACCACATATAGAAATTAAATTCTATAATGTGTTTGGGACTTGTGTGTAGGGAGCAGAATTTGGTGTCTTAGAGGAAGATGGGGGGTTGATTATAAAGAAGTTAAGATGACTTTTCTTTCTAGGAAATGGAAAAGGTTCCAAACACACGACGATGTGGATTTAGCACTATGGAACAGATGGGAAAAAGGTGTTTGATTTACACTAGTGAAGTGTACAAAGGTCCCATGAGAATAGCAAAGTTGAGGGGGAGGATTCAGCACAGTCAGGCCAGACTGTCCATACTTGACCTACTAATGCTTCACTATGGAAGGAGCTCATGAGACTAAGTCTTCAAGGCTGATCTCACTCTTTTTCTAAATTCAGATACAGGTAAGTAGAGTGTGCATTACACACAATATATATTACATTCATATTATATATTGTTTATACATTGTACACATTATAAATTATGTTTTGATAAAATTAGATAATAGATAGATGGTAGCTGTTCAAATCTACATTAGAAATGGAAGGAGTGTATGTAGTAGCATATTTTACCTTTAATCAGCTGCCATGTGTGAACTAGCTAGAGATATTCTTAAACATATTGTTTTTACTATCTGTGGTTATTTACCACTCAATGAGATAACTTGATCCTGTTTCTCTTAATATCTAAAATTTGCAAATGTACTCAGTTATTAAAATTTGACTTACTATTATGGCAAGGTGACTTATTGTGCATATTCTTACATTATTCCACATGAAGGCTTTATGCACACATAGGACTCACTAAGGGCATTATTCCTAGCACAAGTAGCTAGGAGTGGCCAGGTGGGCAGAGGGGACAAGCAGGGGACAAGCAGGGGACACCTTGTTCCAGGGCTGCCTGAGACTGACTCACAGGAGAAGCATCAATATTAACATGTAAGACTCCTATAAACAAACTAAAAGTTTCCAGGTGGAGAGGGAAAAAAGGAATGCAAAGTCAACTGAGACCACAAATATATATAGAAAGAAAACATTTCTCTTTTAGAAAAGGTTCTAGGTTACCAGAGCTATTTGAGACTAATATCTAATACATGATTTCTCTTAGTATACTGCTCTGTTCTTCTTATTACTGACATATCCATAATCTAAAATATAATCAAGAGGAAATGAGTTTCTGATTTCATATCCAGAACTATAATGTTATTGATACTGAAATACATTATCAAAAACCTGAAGCAAGAAATTTGGTCTAACCTTCATCTGTGGATATAAAATCATCAATTTAACATTAAATTATTTTAAGCATTTTAAAAATACTTTTTAAGGTGATTTAATCTATACATTTATTTAAATTCCCCACTATTCAGCTAGATGTAAATGATTGAATGAACTCTAAGTCTTGAAATCATTTGTTCATAGATGGACCGCACAGGAAAATATTTCCCCCTGGGGAACCACACTAAACTGGTGGAATTCATCCTGATTGGGTTTTCTGATGTGCCTAGTCTTCAAGGTTTACTTTTTGGTGTATTTCTGATAATCTACATCTTTATTCTTATGGGAAATAGCCTCATTATCATGATAACTAAGGTTGATCCTTCTCTCCAGACCCCCATGTATTTTTTCCTTGGGAATTTATCCTTTTTGGAAATATGTTATGTGTCAGATACGCTCCCCCGATTGTTAGCTGATCTCTGTAGACAAAACAGAAAAATTTCCTTTCTGGCCTGTGCTGTTCAATTATATTTCTTTCTGGTTTTGGGCGCCACTGAGTGCTTTATCCTCACTGTCATGGCTTATGACAGGTATGTGGCCATCTGTAACCCACTGATGTACCCTGTCATCATGAACAGTAGGCTGTGTGTTCAGCTGGCAGCTTCCTGCTGGACCACAGCCATTCTAATCCACATAGGGTCTACCTCCGTGGTCTTCTCTTCACCCTTCTGTGAACGGAACGAGATGAATCACTTTTTCTGTGATGTCCCTCCAATTGTTCAGCTTGTCTGTGGGGACACTTTCATAATTGAGATGCTGACTTTTGTGATTGCTGCCTTAGTTGTTACCATTCCGTTTTTGCTCATCCTGGGATCTTATGTGAAAATAATCACCAACATCCTGAAGCTACCATCAGCCACTGGGAGAGCCAAGGCCTTCTCCACTTGCTCTTCCCATGTGATAGTGGTGACTTTATTCTTTGGATCAGCCATCATAGTGTATTTGAGGCCTAAGTCCACTCACTCAAAAGGAATGGACAAATACTTTTCTCTTTTGTACTGTATCTTGATACCTGTGTTTAACCCTATTATATATTGTCTGAGAAACAAAGATATTATGGTGGCCTTGGAAAAATTCCTGCAGAAGTGGATTGTGTTGAGGTTCATACATTCTAAAAATTCATCACATTCATAACATCACTTATTAAAAATTGTTTCTTTGTAATCACATTCTCTGTGCAATTATTCTAAGACTTGACTTATTATTACTGAGTGATGTCGTATTTTTGTAGCTCAAAAAATAAACTCAGCCATCATTTTTCTTTTAAATATTTATTTATTTTGTGCAGAACTGGGGTATACAGGCCAGAGGCTCAGGGGCTTCGAGAGGCTTCACCAGAGACAGAGTGGGGAGCAGAACAGACAGATCTACGAAATACACTGCTGAGGGGAGCAGCGGGTGGGTCAGGAGAGGTCTGCCACGCCATGTGGTCACCTCCAGGGCAGGCAGGAATCGAACTCATGCGGAAGAGGCTTTAGATTCTCAGTGCTGTGCTTTAACCCGCTGCGCCACCAGGGAGGGCCTCAGCCATCATTTTTATAAAATATTCTGATACTATGTCAAGGGCATACAAATATTTTAAAACACACTGGACTCAGCCTTCCTTCTGTTGTCACTATTTCAGTATATTATCAACATTATATTTGTAATTCACCTTTAGACATTCAGAAGCATTGTATTCTGTAAGATGGCAGACTTCCAATTAAATTATTACTCTGAAAGGATGACTAACAGGGCAAGTTTAATTGTTTTTGTTATACTTCATGATGTAACTAACATGAGCTAAGACCAGTAACAAATGAAGAAGGGTACAGTATTTTTAAAAGGGACATGTTCATTGTTTCTTTTCAAATATAAGTAAAATTTTAAAATACACTAATTTTATTTTTGAACTTGTACTTTTACCTTTAGTAATTCATACATGGTACATTTACACCCTAAAGTTAAGCCAGCTAAGTTTACAGTATACTATTAAAACAAGCTATTAAGTATTGATCTGTTCATTCTTCCTATATTTGATGTAAAAACATTAATTCATGAATTTTAAAGATGCCAACTTTTGAGAATCTTAATATAAATGCCTGAGTCACTATGGTCAGCTTGTGTTAAAAATCCTGTGCGATATCCACCTAATAATTTTTAGTAAATTGTATATCCCTGAATTTCACTTTTTTCCTCATAATGCTACTTTCCAATTATACAATTTTGATAAGATTCCAGAGAAGATTCTAGACTTATGTACTATAGTCACTTGTCCAAATTCATATATGGTTTTATAAACGTCTCTATTGCTAAAGACATATTATTGCCTTTATCTGGACAATGGACCTTAACACAAGCTAGATGATGCATACGTTTTAGAGTCCCAGTTTCACTTATTGAAGTAAATAAAGTGGTTTCTAATAATTTGGAAAATGTTATAGACTGATTGCATACCTGTAGTCTAACATTAAGACTTTTGATGCCTACTCCAGCTTTCCCAATTGGGGACTTACTCTATTCCCCAGAGGTGGAGAAGATGGGGAGTCAGGGACAGAGGAGTTGCCAGGGGGGCAATGTTCTTCTTCCCTGTCACCCAGACTTTGAATTTTCCATGAATCAGTTGTCCAACAAGGGACAGACATGCTGATCTCCTAGCTACCACTAATTCACAGATTTTTGCATTTAACTATTTGTAAGGTTTACAGACAAAAGAGTAACTGTAGGAATTAAGAAAGTTAAATTTATATGTCAAGTTTGTAGGATTTAAAAATCCCCATTTTCATCTGGTTTTTCCACATCATTCATTTTTCACATTACTCTGCATTTTTGGTCCCCAAGTATTATAAGAGAAAATTCTAGCAAATAGAATCATTAATGAGAGGATTTCCAAAGGATACTTCAGAAATACAAATCATCACAAGAGATTACAGTGTATATCTCTTTGATAATAAATTGTAAAATTTACTAAATACCAAAAGAATATGATTTTGCAAGACTGGATTATGAAGTAAAGGAAACTTTGACCAGTAAAGAAATTGAAAGCATAATACAAAATTTCATTATAAACAGAATCCAGTACCTGATGGAATTACTAGAGAGTTTTATACCTTCAATGAGAAAATAAAACTCAAGAATCAAAAGATCAAAGTACTCAATTCCCTTTTTGTGATCAAGTTCATTTGTGAGCTAGATCTTCTGAACTTGAAATATAGATGAGAATGTAGTCCACCTTTCATTGTTTAATAGTAATGAAAATGTAAAATTGATACATACATACATACATACATACGTATGTGTATATATATGTGTACACACATATATACATATATATACACACATATATACACACACCACACACATATATATATATATACACACATATATATATATGTGTATATATATATATACACATACGTATGTATGTATGTATAAAGATAAATTCAATTCCTCATGTGATCAAAAGGCCTTAACAACAAATGAGATGCCACATGAGCTCCGTGTACTTTCCAGGGCATCTTCTTTGGGTAAAGTCATGATGAAAAAGTCAAAATCATTTGAAATTGTGTATACTGAGATTTCATACAGAGATTTAGTCCAGGGTTAATACTGGAAATTCCTTCTCCAGCCTCTCCCAGTGGAGGCTGGCTCTACTCCCTAGAGGTGTGTGTGTGTTTGTGTGTGTGTCGGGGGGAGCCAGGGACAGAGGGTGGCCAGGGGTGAATGCACCTTACTCCCCAAAGACAGAGCCTCAATACATCTACTCCAGCTAGACACAGCATGGGTTACCCCTAGTTACCACCAGGTTATTGAGTTTAAAGCAAGTCTTAAAGCAATAATGTTTCCATAATGAATAAGATGTTGATGCTACCTGAAGTGAACTGTTGATATAAAAAAAATGTGAGTTCAAGGAAAATAATAATAGTTGAATTCATTACCTGATAATTAAAGCTGGAAATTTATAAGACAACACTCTATTCTTTATAAAATTCCACACCATGATTTCTCCATAATAAATAAAAGGTAAGCAGTGATTATATTCGTCCTGCCTATTTTATTGCACTGTATTTTAACTTGAATCAGAAGATAAAAAATATACACCCACCTTTATTGTGACCAAATTAATTTGTGAGCTAAAGATCCTAAACTAGAACTATATATTGTAAATGTAGTTCATCTTTCATTTTATAATACTAAGGAAGATGTAAAGGTATGAAAACAACTTGGTGTAGTGAAGAGTTTTATATCAAAAGTTTTACTTATATTTCCAGGACATTCAATTCAAAAACAATTTCTTATTTAATATTTATGATGCCCACTGATTAAACATGGAGAGTCCACATCACACACTACTGAGTGTTAGGTCACCTGGGTCAGGTAGTAGCTTCTTGACACTGTGCAAGTTTTTCAAACCTTTCTATGCATTCTATGCATTCTATGCTTTTTTTTTTTAATGCAAACATGTGAATAATGGCACTTGTTTTATTCAAATTGTAACAAATGAGAAGATATAGGCAAAGTTATTCACACCAAGAATAGCATGTAGTAAATGTTCAAATATTGTTATTAAAAGTAGAAGTTTCTAATAACCAGATTTCTCTACACTGCGTAGGCATCACAGTTGTTGTTAACAATAGAACACTGATAATGGGAAAAGTTTAACTTTCCCTGTGAAATTGTCATTGTGCTCATAGTTATGAATGGGGAGAATAGAACTAGGTAGAAAACAAAATAAAGTTTTTTCAGGCTATACTACCATATATTACATAAGATTTGAATTAAACTTTTCAATAACATATACTTGTATTTCTTTAAAGTATATTTTATGTGCTCAAAATATAAGAGACTAGTACAAATAAGATAGAAAACTAAAAGTAAAATGAAGATAACTTTCTTCCCCCAAGATATTTTTTTCTGGTTGTTATTCACACAACATAGAACTGTGTACTCATTTTAAGGTTGGTATTCCTGCAAATTAACTTCCTGTTATTTGTTTCCTCTACTAGATTGGAAAACGTCTACTCCATGACTGGATAAAAAATGAGAAAACTTGAAGCTGAAAGAAAAAGGTTATCAGTTAAAATAATAATGATTGATTCAATAGTGTGATAACAAACATAATAATGCCTAATTGAACTACAACTGCATCATTTAAGACAACCTGTTAAATTGACTACGCTTCTTACCTCTCAAAATAATTCCCTAAATTATCTATTATTAATACTGTGTATATTTTCAACAGGGCTAACTAGTCTTGTGGTAATTACAATAAGGACACATTATCAAAATATATTTAGCTTACTTTTTCGAAAACTTAAAACAAAATATTTTTTTACTTCAATGTGCATTTTTGTAGAGTGTATAATTTTCAGTTTAATTAACTCAATGTTAAATTCTTTGGTCAGAGTGTTGGTTAGTATCTAGGGTGCACTTCTTGTGCTTGTGGGAATCATTACACGACCCATCAGCAGGTGTTCACAAACACTCCAACAGGTAAGCACTGGACAGCCTATGGATTACAGAATTGATGAGGACGTGAGGGCCAATATGGTCTGCAATAATTTGATTCTCTTTCTTTAAAAGTGACAATGCCAGAATCATTCTGTGCTCCCTGGTATCTGATGACATCTCAGTAAATGCCACTTCTTTACAAATGTGACTTTCTTGCCAGACCAGGTAACTCTTTCCACGTAGAAACTGTACATTCTAGGGTGACATCTGCTGTCCCCATCAAAGTTGATCACCCTTAAACTTTTGAATGATGTCATATCATTCCCCATTTTTATTTAAAAAACCCTACCATGTGACATAATCTGTATTTTATGGGTATCTAGTATTTACTCATAACTATAGTAATTATGTCATTGCATATATTACTATATTTGCTATGGGTTAAACAATAACCAAATGGTTATATAATAAGACCTATATATCATAATTCATAAAAGCTATAGCAATTACTGTGCAGTATATTGTGTATGTTACTATATATCAGTGCCTACCTGAAACATCTATAACACCTTTGGATTAATGAAATTTTAATACTCTTTTGCAGTCTAGTGCATAAAAGAGAAAGCAAACCCATGTGGAAAGATGATATAACTTGAAGTTTCAGAAGATTTAAAATGGGAAAACAACAAGCAATGCATGATATGAAAATAAATGACAACACCAGAGAAACACTGGTAAAATGGCAGGAGGAGAATTTCAGGCTGTGGAAAATGCTATTGAATTAAAAAGGGGAGTGCTGTGAAAAAGTAAAATCAGATTGCAGGTTTGTATGAAATGTGAAGAAAGGAATTTTCTATTAGTGAAAAATAAGAAACCACATTTAGGAAGTGAGTTCTATCATGTGTTTGGGATTTGTAGGAAGTGGAATTTGTTGTCTGGGAGGAAGATGGAAGGTTGATTATAAAGAAGTTAAAATGAGTTTTCTTTGTAGCTAAAGGAAAGTTTTAAACACATGACAATGTGGATTTAACAGCATGTGACAAGATGTGACAATGCGTTTGTTTGCACTAGTGAATGGTACAAAGCATGAGAACAACAAAATTAAGGGGTTTCAGCACAGTGCAGGCCAGACTGTCCATACTTGATCTACTAATGCTTCATTATGGAAGGCTCTTGTGTGAGCAAGTCCCCAAGGCTGATCTCACTCTGTTTCTAAATTCAGATACAGGTAAGCAGAGTGTGCACTACACACAGGGCATATTACACTCATGATGTATATTAGTTATATATTGTATGCATTTAAATTATGTTTTGATAAAAATAGATGTCAGGTGATGGTGATTCAAACATATATTAGAGGTGGAAGGAGGGTGTGTAATAGCAAATTTTACCTTTAATCTACTGCCATGTATGAACTATCTGATGAGATTATCTTCAACAGTTTGTTTTTTCCTTTCTGTGCTGAATTACTGGCTAAAGAGTAATTTTTTCTAATATTCTTCATATGCTCAGAGTTATTAAAATTTGAGAGTCTCGTATGGAAGTGATGCCATATTACGCAAATTCTTGCATTATTCCACAGGGAGGCTTTATGCACACATAGGACTCGCTAAGGGCATTATTCCTAACACAAGTAGCTGGGAGTGGCCAGATGAGCAGAGTGGACCCGGCTAGGGACTCACTGACACCTTGTCCCAGGGCTGCCTGAGACTGACTCACAGGAGAAACATCAATATTAACATGCAAAACTCCTATAAACAAACTAAAAGTTTCCAGGTGCAGAGAGAAAAAGCAAATGGAAACCAAATCCATAGGAGGGAAAATATTTCTCTTTTAGAAAAGGTTCCAGGTTACCTAGAACTGTTTGAGACTAGGTTCCAGACAATTTCTCTGAGTTTATCATTTTCTGTTTTGTTTTATTTTGTTTCTGAGTTTATCATTCTCTGTTTTGTCTTGTCATATTTGTCATATATATATATATATATCATATATATGTCATATATATATATACACACACACACAATTCACATATAATATATATATAATAGAAAATATTTATATATATATAATATAAATATGATGAAGAGGAAAAGAGTTTCTGGTTTGTATAAAGGAATTTTAGAATATAGATATCAAAATATATTATCAAAAACCTGAAACAGGAAAATTGGTAAAATGGGAGAACAGCCCATTTTTATTTAAAAAATAAAACATATACATTTTTTATTTTATTTAAAAAGGTTTTTTAAATAAACCTTTGTCAGTGGATATAAAAATTGTTGACTTAACATTTTTGAATGTTTTATTTTTAACCATTTTTGAAATAATTTTTAAGATGATTTAATTTTTAAATTAATTTAAATTTCCTACTATTCAGGTAGGTAGAAATGACTGAATGACTTTTAAGCCTTGATTTCATTTTGTTTATAGATGGAACATACAGGACAAAATTCCCCTTTGGGGAACCACACTACACTGGTGGAATTCATCCTGATTGGGTTTTCTGATGTCCCCAAACTTCAAGGTTTACTTTTTGGTGTATTTCTGATTATCTATGTCTTCATTCTTACGGGAAATAGCCTCATTATCACAATCACTAAGGTTGACCCTTCACTGAAGACCCCCATGTACTTTTTCCTTGGGAATTTATCCTTTTTGGAAATATGTTATGTGTCAGTTACACTCCCTAGAGTGTTAGCAGATCTCTGTAGACAAAATAGAAAAATTTCCATTCTGGCCTGTGCTGTTCAAATGTATTTTTTCCTTATCTTATCAGCCACTGAGTGTTTTATCCTCACTGCCATGGCTTATGACAGGTATGTGGCCATATGCAACCCACTACTCTACCCTGTCATCATGAACAGTAGGCTGTGTATACAGCTGGCAGCTGTCTGCTGGACCACTTCTATTATAATACACATAGTGTCCACTTGCGTGATCTTTTCTTCACCCTTCTGTGAACGTAACAAGATGAATCACTTTTTCTGTGATGTTCCTCCAATTGTTCAGCTTGTTTGTGGGGACACTTCTGGAATTGAATTGATGACTTACATTATTGCTGCCTTGGTTGTCACGATTCCTTTTTTGTTGATCCTGGCATCTTATGTGAAAATAATCTCCACCATCCTGAAGCTGCCATCAGCCACTGGGAGAGCCAAGGCCTTCTCCACCTGTTCTTCTCATGTCATGGTTGTGACTTTGTTCTTTGGATCAGGCATCGTTGTGTATTTGAGACCTAAGTCCACTCACTCATCAGGAATGGACAAATACTTTCTTTTTTTTTACACCATTTTGACTCCCTTGTTTAACCCCATAATATATTGTCTCAAAAACAAAGATGTTATGGTGGCCTTGGGAAAATTCCTCCAGAAATGGATTGTACTGGGACTCATAACTTCTAAAAATTCATCACATTCTTAATATCACTTGTTAAAAAAGTTGTTTCTTATTTGCTTCACAGTCTCCACTTGGTTTTTCATTTATTCTGTAAACCTGACTTATCCTTACTGAGTGGTCTCATATTTTTATGTCTCAGAAAATATACCAGTCATCAATTTTTTTTTTAAAGATTTATTTATTGATTCATACAGGCCAGAGGCTCAGGGGCGGTGAGAGACTTCACCAGAGACAGAGTAGGGAGCAGAACAAGCAGATCGATGAAGCACACTGCTGAGGGAATAAGTGGGCGGGTCAGGAGAGGTCTGCTGTGCCATGTGGTCACCTCCGGGGTAGGCGGGGATCGAACTCATGCGGAAATGGCTTAAGCTTCTTGTGCTGTGCTTTAACCCGCTGTGCCACCAGGGAGGGCCCAGTCATCAATTTTAGAGAGTAAATTATTCTGAAACCTATCAGGGTATAGATATATCTTTAAAACACATTGGACTTATTAAAATTTATCTCTTCTTTTGATGTTGCTACAATTTCTTTATATTATCAACATTCTAATTGTAATTCATCTTTATATCCAGAAGTGCTATATTTTCTGTAAGATAACACTTCTAATTAAATGCAATAGACTGAAAGGATGATTAATAGCATAAGTGGAGTTGTTTTGTTTTACTCCATTTAGGTAACTAATGTGAGCTGAGACCAGAAACCAAAAAAGTGTGAAATATATTTTTAAAAGAATATTTTCACTGTTTTTGTTCAATTACAAGTAAGATTTCAAAGTACACTACTCCTACTTCTTGACTCTTTATTTTTAACTGTAATAATGCACACATGGTACATTTATCCTACAAATTTAAGCCAGATAAATTTGCATTATACTCATAAAATGAACATTTGAGTATTGGTTTGCTTATACATCCTATATTTGATATAAAAATATTCACACATGAATTTTAAAAATGCCATGCTTTTGAAAACCTTAACATTAAAGTTTGAATCACTTAGATCAGCTTATGTGCAAAAAACTGCACAATACACTGTTTTATCTAAAATAATAGCATTTTGTGAATTGTGTCTTCCTCAGATTCACTTTTTTACCACTATGTAATTTTCCCACCTTTTTGATAGCCATGATTTCAGTCTCAGTGAACTACAATCACTTGTCCAAATTCATATATATTATTTGTATTAGTCCCTATAACTAAGAATATGATATTTTCCTTATTCAAACAGAGGGCTTTACCAACAAATCTGGCTATGTTTGAGTTTGGAGATTTATAAAGCTTCATTTGTTGAAGTAACAAAAATGTGTTCTAATAATTTGAAAATTGGTATTGAGCGGTTGCCTATGTATAGTCTAACATTGAGACTTCTGATGCCTACTCCAGCCTTTCCCAATTGGGGACTTGCTCTTCTCTCCAGAGATGGAGAAGAAGGGGAACAAGAGACAGAGGAGTGGCCAGGGGGCTAATGCTCCCCCTCCCTGCCCCCCAGAGAACCAGGCTTCCATGAGTTGGTTGTCCTTCCTGATACAGCCTTGCTAATCTCTGAGCTATCAGAACACTGAGATTTCTGTGTTTAATTATTTTAACAGTTGCTGACAAAAGAATAGCTGTAGGAATTGAGAAAGTCAAATTTATACATTTATGTTACAAATTTCAAAATCCCCATAGGTCACCTACTTTGTCTAGTCATTTGTCTTTGGCGGCATTTTGGCCCCCTATTGCTGTAAGGGAAAATTCTAACAAGTAGAAGCATTTATAAGAGACTTTGTAAAGGTCACTTCAGAAAAAAAAGATATCATAAGAGACTACAGAGTATATCTCTTTGGCAACAAATAGGAAAATTGCAAAGTACTATGAGAATATGACCTTGCAAGAAATCTTAAACAGACCAATCACAAGCAAAGAAGTTAAAGGCATTATCAAAAATTTCATTTAAAGCAGAAATTGAGCCCTCCCTGGTGGTGCAGTGGGTTAAAGCACAGCATTAAGCTGCTAAAGCCACTTCAGCATGAGTTCGGCATTAGTTCGATCCCTGCCCCGGAGGTGACCACATGGCGTGGCAGACCTCCCCAGACCTGCCGGCTGCTCCCCTCAGCAGTGTACTTGTCGATCTGTCTGTTCTGCTCCCCACTCTGTCTCTGGTGAACCCTCTCACTGCCCCTGCACCTCTGGCCTGTACCCCAGTTCTGTATGCATAAATAAATCAATCTTAAAAAAAAAAAAGAAATCCAGGACTTAATGGAATTACTAGTGAGTTCTACTTCATAAGTGAGAAAATAACATCTAACCTTCTTAAACACTTCTTAATAGAGGGGAAGATGGAATGTTCCCAAACATGTTCTGTGATGACATTAGTCACTAGCAGAAGTGAGGACCTCACAAAAGAAAACTATAAACCAATATCCCTGCTGAACAAAGATACCAAATGGAGAAAATTGGAAAGAATAACATGTAGCAGAATAAGTAAAATGAGTACTTAACAAACACTAGACATTTAAATAGGAGACAATTTGATAAATAGAATATTAACAAAAAGCCCAAACTGTGGAATTTAATAAGCACCCCAAGAAGGAAGATTCATAACACTAATAAAAGTAACTCTACCTGATCTTTCTTACTAGCTTCAAAACCTCATAATGCCATTTTCTCACCAAGCCTTCTTGACACAAATAACTGGATACTAGTTGTACTCTATCTTCTTGTGTGATACTTGCACTCTTATTAAAGTTTGCTCCTGCTATTTTATTATAGTTCATTATTATCTCAAGAATCATAAGGTTACAAGTATACACGTCTCTTCTTGTGATCAAGTTCATTTGTGAGCTAAATTTTCTGAACTTGAAATATAGATGTGAATGTAGTCCACTTTTCATTTTTTAATAGTAATGAAAATGTAAAATTGATATATGTAATATAGATAGATTAAGTTCCTCATGTGATCAAAAGATCACAACAGATGAGATGACACATGAGCTCCATATACTTTCCAGGGCATCTTCTTTGGGTAAAGTCATGGTGTTTCAACCATTTGAATTTTACACAGATTTCACACAGAGATTTAGTCCAGTGTTAGGACTGGAAACACCTTCTACAGCCTTCCCCAATGGAGACGTGTTCCACTCCCCAGAGGTGAGAGGGTGGGGAGCCAGGGACAGAGGGGTGGCCAGGGTGAATGTGCCTTATTCCTCAGAGACAGCCTCAATGCATCTGCCGCAGCCAGACACAGCCTGGGTACGTTACCCCAATTACCACCAGGTCTTTGAGCTTAAAGCAAGTCTTGAAGCAATAATGTTTCCATAGTGAATAAGAGGTTGCTTCCTACCTGACATGAACTGCTGGTTTCAGAAAATGTGAGTTCAAGGAAAAATAATAATAGTTGAATTTATGACTTGATCATTAAAGCCAGGAATTTATGATGACACTCTATTCTTTATAAAACTCCACACCATGATTTCTCGTAATAGGAAAAAGGTAAGCAGTGATAATAATCCCCCTGCCTAGTTTATTGTAGTGTATTTTTAACTCAAAGCAAAAGTTTAAAATTACAATTTCCTTTCTTGTCACCGAATTCATGTGCAAGCTAAATCTCCTGAACTTGAAGTATATACTTAAATGTAGTCCATCTTTCATTTTCATAATACTAAGGAAGATGCAAATTGGGTATGAAAACAACTTGGTGTAGTGAAGAGTTTTGCATTACAAGTTTACTTATATTTCTGGACATTAACTTAAAAAATCATTTCTTATTTTATATTTATGATGCCCACTGATTAAGAATGTGGAGTCGGCATCACACACTGCAGGGTGTTTGTTCTCCTGGGTCAGGTGGTAGCTTCTTGACACTGGGCAACTATTTTAACCTTTCTATGCATTGGGTTTCTTTGTGCAAAATGTGTTTATTATATAAGATGATGGTACAGATGAGACAGAAAATTAAAAGAAATACCCAAAGATAAAGGTATTTTCTACCAGATGTTGTTCTAAGTTGGTATTCGCCCAACATGCAACTACTAACTTGAAGCTTAGAATTCCTGTAAATTAACACACTATTCTTGCTTTCTTCTTCAGACTGAGAAACATCCACTCCATGACTGGGATAAAAGATGAGCAGACTTCCAGATGAAATAAAATGGGTATCAGTTAAAATAATAATGATAAATTCAACCAGTATGATAATGATCATATAACAATGCCTAATAGTACTAACTGTAGTTTTTAAGCCAAACAGTTAAATAAATTGCTTCTTACTTTTCAAAATAATTCCCTGAGTTTTATATTACTATTACTATGTATATTTTTTAAAAGGGTAACAAACCTGTGATAATTAAATAAGGGCATATTACCAAAATCTATCTTCTTTACTTTTTCAAAAATCTTTTCTTACATCAATGTGCATTTTTGTACAGTGTGTGATTTATAGGTTAATTAACTCAATGTTAAATTCTGGGAGATTTACATTTCAGAGTGCAGTGCAGTTGTGTTAGTGGGAATCATTCCATGACTCATCAGCAGGTGTTCATAAACCATTCACACAGGTAAGCACTGAACAACTAACTGTTTGGAATACAGAACTGGTAAGGATATGAGGGCCAACACTGTCTGCAGTATTTGATGATTTTTCTTTAAAACTGAAATAACAGTATGATTCTGTGATCCCTGATGTCTGACAAAATCTTGGTGTAATGTCATTTCTTTACAAATCCTACTTTCCAGCAAGACCAAGTAACTATTTCCATATAGAAACTGCACTAGATTCTAGGGTGACATCTGACCTTCCCATCTGAGTTGACCTCTCTGTAAGCTCTGAGTGAACTCATATCATTCCCATTATTATTTTAAATACCCAGACTCTTGACGTACTCTGCATTTATGGTTACTTAGTACTTATTCATAAGAACCACATTGGTTAGTATATAGCATATTATATATATTACTATATTGTATATTATTTATACAATGAATGATTGGTTATACAATATGCCCAACATATTATTATTCATTATAAACTACAGTGATTACTATATT